TGCCGCTCCCTTAATTTTGCCGCCATGGGCAGCGGCCCATGTGGCCACCCCTTTAATCCGGCCCTGATGTTAAATGAAGTATTTTGAAGTAGAGGTTTCATTTCTTGATAGGTTTCTTGTTATTAGATAACAAATTGCCTGAGAAGAGGTTCTAGACTGGGTCCTCTCCTGGCAAAAAACGTACAAGACGCCCTGTCAAATCGTGGATTGATGGTATAAGGCAGGGTCGCTACCAGTGGCGGATGGGTGTCGTGAAGCGGACGGAAACGCTATGTAAAAGCGACATGTTAGTTAGTTAGGTTTCGTTTCTTCAGCCACTAACTTAAGCGGAAAGTAAAGAAGCCGTTTTTGAAATTGAATCGGCGTGCATCTAATTATCTTATCCACGAACAATTGGCCTAAAGAAACTCCATAGTTAATTAGGTCCAGACTTTTCCCCATCTGTCCAGTGCAACAAATCTTAAAGAGTCACACTTTTGGAGAGCGATAATGGGAGCGATTCTGAGAAAATCACTCGTGCCAAAGAACGTGCGAAATAATCCTGATAAAAAACACGTTTCTGGCGATTTATGTGTCACGATTAATTGAGTTGGCTGCGCGAATCGTGGTTTTAAATGCATTTTGCGGCTGTTAGCGCCGGCATTTAAATGAGAACTGGTTTGCAAACATATATTTTAATTCAATGAAAGGAGAAAATGAAGATAAAAAACCTAGTAGAGAAAAAGGAAGAAAAATTGCACCTGGTGAGAAGTGACGTAGTGACGAATTTTCATTCTGAAGGGAAGTTGGAGAGGAAGAAAAATAAAAGACAGTAATTTTCTTGAATGAGTGCTGACCTAATTCACGCAAGATGGAATTTTAAAACCGCTCTCTTCTTGGAAACAAATACGATGACATTACATCATAGCCATCAGTCGTTGTTTCTGCGATGCAGAAATTCTCATTACAAAGAGAAAAAATTCATTCAGACCAAATTTTACATTTTAGAGTTACGGTGTTTCATTCATTGTCCTTACTATCTTCCTAGCGTCCAGATTCATCAGAGTATTGGCGTATATATAAGCTAAAGTTTAAGCGGCCGATCGACAGCGGAAGCACACGCAGTAGAGCTTTCGCATTTCAATGAGTAACTTTACCCGCAAGTGCAGTCAACTGCAGTTGGTGCAAAAAGATTAGACCGCAACGCTTGATCACATCTGCTCATGCACATCAACACCCAGCTACCGCTGAGATCAGATTTGCCGCGTCACTGGTTAATCGTAATTGAGCCTTTAGAGGGATTTTACAGCCCAGCCATTTCTGATACTTCAAACGAAGCTCTTACGTCCTATTCTGCCGTGATATGGAACAACCCCGTATGAATACGCAAAGATTGCCAAACCTCGGATAGAATATATATTTTCCGGAAAAGTTATGGCGGAACAGCGGATCTCGCACACGCTGGAATAACTTTTGGCGGACTGGATTGTGATGTTGGTGCCTCAAGAACGGACCCACGGTTGGTTCAAACTTTTGTGACGCGTAAAAAGTTCAATTATACCTTTTACTTCAAATCGTGAACCAATACTTAAGGAAGAAACATTGTGGCCGCATCGCGTAAAAGCTGAACTGACGCCATTTTTGTGCAGTTTCGACCAGTGTGAGGGCGCTTCTGGGGGGAAAAAAGCTAAAAACTCCTTCCATTTTTTGGCTATGCAACACGGACATCCGCCGAGCATTAATAAGTGCATTCAAGCTTTATCATCAACGTCGCATCTGTCGGCCGAGACTAACTATAAACGCTATCAGTAGATGGACTCGAAAGACATGATTGTACGTATTCCGAGTATTGGCGGATCTAAGTTGAAAATGTAATTAAATAAACATCACCATGTACCATTTCAGACAATTTCAAACCTCAAGCACACAGGCGATGGACCATTAGAAAATGTAAGAAATTAGGTACCACAATGGTTACTTCAAAATTTTCGGGTAATATTCTGAAACTCCCAATTGAAGCACATTTTGCATGACTCCATCACATTTGATGACAATAAAAATATAGATAATGTGCAGTGGGTATGTGTAAATGATTTTAATAAAATTGCTATTCAAAAATTAAAAAATGGGTGCGGACTGAACGGCCGTCTTTAAATTACGTAACGCATTTTTTCGGCATCCCCCCCCTCCCCATTGTACCGCTTTTGTGATGTAGGTCCCTATCACTTAACAAGTGTAAAAACAAAATGGCGTAATGCTCTCATCAACTACCCTCTCCCTGGAACGTTACGTAATTTAGGGACGGCCCCTGAATCCAAACTACTTCAGTAATTATTTTGTGACGATAAAACCCAGTGCGGCTACTTTGCTACATTGATCAGTAAGCGTGGGTATGACTTTACAGTAATAACTTTTTCAATGTCATTAATGTACGAAGTATGCGCGATGAGGGAGAAGGGGCAGTGAGATGAGAAGAGGAGCCAGCAGGAGATGACGCACAGTGGATCTAGTCAATGGCAAAGGTCGGACAAGAACTTTTTGACTGAAACTTTCGGTATAAATGATGTTTGACTGGTCCAATTTCGAATTTCAGTGGGTGTCTCATACCTATAGAAAATTTTATAAGGAGACCAATGAAACCACTTTTAGCCCTCAACATTTTGTTTTATCGGAGGTATATGGGCTTTTAAAGTTGTCAAAGTTTGTCCAACAAGTCCGATTGACTCGTTCCATTGTGTGACGGTTGGTTGGAGGCTACCTAGAGGTGCGAAAGGAGGAGCCAGAGAGCGAATAGCTAGTTTTGCGATGTTCAGGCTGGCATTGACTTGGTCTTAATTTATCCCCGTATAAATGCATCGTCATCAATCGAGTTATGGGTGAGCAGCGAGATTATAAAAATGAGCAATTCATTAATACGAGGCGAAGTGAACGTCATTACAAATCTATGTACAACTTAAATTTTGAAAAAAGAACCTCTCTTTGTCATAGTCACATTTCGACGGTGTAAGTCGGCAAATCACATAACTAGGTTTGCGACGTCGCAGACTTCCTGTCATTTATTTTTTAAACGGGGAAACTACTCAACGGCAATTCTTCATATCTGTCTTGATTTTTCTTCTCTGTACTAGGAAAATTCAGCAAACTTCAAGGAATGAAGTCAACTTGTTCTCTTTTAAAAAAATAATATAGAGACGGAGATTTTCAGACACCGCAAACGAGTTATGTGCATGGCCGGATTTACCAACTTGCCGCCCATTGGCCGCCTGTATTTTGCCGCCCTCTTCTCATTTATTTTGAAACATCAATAAAAACCATCAAGTGAACGTGCTGGAGGGAGAAGGGTGCATAAGACGCGTTCACTCGTGTTGGACACATTTTTTGCGTAAGCCCTGTCAACACTACTGGCAAAAATTCAAGGAACTTCGCTCTGAAGTTCAGTTCCGTAAACCTATCTCTATGGGGACAAGGCCTTTTATTTGTAAGAAATGAACTAAAAAATTAAGAAAGAACAAACACTAATGTGGTTTAATAATTTTAACTTCCGCCGCCGTGCCGCGCTGACCACACTGTGTTTGGCGCAATGCGTGAAGTATTCATGTAGTCTTGTAGGCACTGTGCGTCTCACGCCGCGCCGCGCCGCGCCGACTGCTGTTAACCGTACTGTGTTTGACGCAATGCGTGAAGTATTCATGCAGTATCGTAGGCGCTAATATGTGTTACATGCCGACCGCCGCGTCGAGGGCTTCTCCTTTTCATCTCAAGTCCTCGTCATCATTTCATCTTTGCGCCGCGCCGCTCCAGGCCAAAGTACGTGTTTGGTTTCTCTCTTAACTCAACTAATTAAAGGTGCGCAGTCTTTTGTATTGCCAAAATACGACAAAATTAGAAATGAATGAACTCTCAGGAAATGAGAGATTTTGTCACCTTTTCTTGTTTGTATTTTTTTTCTGAATCCGATTTTTTTGTACCTGCATTTAAAAAACATTGCAAAATTTGCCGCCCCCCCCCCCAATTTTGCCGCCATGGGCCGCGCCCATGTGGCCACCCCCTTATAATGCGGCCCTGGTTATGAGATTGCCGACTTACACCGTCGATTTGTCTTAGATTTACTTGAACATCGATGGTTAAAGTCGAAAAATGCGTTTCTCCGATTGTGACTTAATAGATAGCCGCTAATACTTGATGTTTTTCTTGTCTCGGCGGAAACGAAAGGTTTAAAGTCTTGATTTAAAATAACGATGGATTTTAAAAAAGGACACCTTCCTACGCCTTCGCAGACTTTAGCCATCGATGTGGATGCCAAATCGGAGGTAAATCTCTAAATACTTAAGTTTGCGAGCCTTGAGCAAATGGTGCTATATGCACAGGCTCTTATCTCTTAGAATAGAACACTATACGCATACTTTTAAGAAACAAAAAAGAAGAAATAACGACCTGTCAAGATGGTGTTCGATTAAAATTATTTTAATTTTTATAAATGGAATAAGTCCTTGGTACTTGGCAAAGGACAGTTATATGGGCGTTTATACTTGAAAATGCTTATAGATGGGTATAGGTTATGTAAAATTTACATCCGTTTTCATAGATGAAAAGAGTAAAAAATCAGGGATCAATTTTTTTTTCACCGACTTATAAATGCAATCCTGTCAATTTTAGTATAAAGTTAACGAAATTTGACGTGTTTATGCTAAAGAGGACTAGAAGCGAAGGAATTAAACCAAAAAGAATTATGAAGCACGTAAATCCTGTACTTGTTCCTTTTGCTTTAAACTCGCACATAGTTATTTTAGCATAAAAAGTTCGTTTCTGTTCATTTTTCGACGTAAATATAATCATGATGTAAAAATGTACGCACTGTAATATATGGATTATGTAATTCGTAAAAAATGTAATTATATAAATGTATAATTTGATGAACTTTTAATCAAAACACCGTGTAAATAAGTCGTTATTTTGTATATTCGTTGTACCTTTTTTTAAGTGGAATTAAGTTGTAAATTACAAAATATTTAATTTCTCACATTTTGTCCGCAGGGCCCGTCAAAATGCCGTGTTACATAAAGCTCGTAGATAGGACGAACACGCTCATGTTGCATAAATCCTCTGGAACACAGGAATATCCAAACGCAGCACTGATTCACACACTTTTACACATAAAAAACAGCACTCCAGGGCGAAACACACGAAAATGTAATCCTGATTTTACCGAGACACCGACGCGGAGAAGCTAGTTCCAAAGGAGACCCGAGACCGGGCGACTTGTCGTAGGTTCGAACTTGCTCTGAGCCGGAGACCTGTTACTTGGAGAAGAATTCGGTCGGTGGCGCTGGCGCTGCGTTGCATAACTGGCCGTTAAAAAATTACGCTTCCTTTGCGACTTGGCTCAGGATCATGCGCTACATAGTGTCTGGTACATCAATGTCCTCCTCAAGGTGGTAAAAACATAGTGTGACCCAGACCATTTGGACGTATGTATGCTAAATGGAACTTTGTGCAAGTGGAAAGATGGGGTGTGCTCTTAATTGCAAGCTGCATAAAAAACAATGTAGAAGTGGATATAGTAAAAGCCAAATTTGACATTAAATCAAAAGGAACTGAGCGCTAACTCGTGAGCCGTGGATAGGTCACAAGAGCCTTGTGGACAGGGCTCATGAGTTAAAGACTGACGACCTAAGCTCCGGCGGCGCTCCCGTCGTTAGGCATCGAGCCCGGTCGTCACCGCTGACGTCACTGGCGCTTTTAAATTCCCATTCATTCCTATTGCCCGAGCACTAAAGAGCACACCCCATCTTTCCACTTGCACATACAGGGTGTTTCAGACCACCCGTACCAGGCCTTTTTCTCGGTTGGTATAGGTCACTTGAAGTCGGAGACCGCGGGAATCCGAATTTCGTGGTCCCGAAACCCCCCCACCCCCCCTTGGGGAGTAAAGGGGGGTCACGATGTTAAAAGTCCCGGTTTCCGACCGAATTGCGGATGGATCGCATCAGAATTGAAAAGCACGAAAAATTTCACGTGGAATTGACCCCTAAAAATCCAAAATCGGACCATCCAAAGCCTAAAAATGAGCCCCTAAAGAGGGGACAGTGCCCCCCTCCATAATTTCTCTTTGGTCTCAAAATTGACGTAGATTCTCCAGAAAAAGACAGTTTCCCAAGCAATCGACCTCGAAAAATCCAAATTTCATGGTCCCGAAGCTCCTCTAGCTTCCCTTGGGGGGTAAACGGGGGGGCCCAATTTTAAAAATCGGGGCTCCTTTCCGAATCGCAAATTGATTGCGTCCAAATTGAGGAGCAGAACACATTTACATCTTAAGTGACTCCTAAGAGTTCTAATAGACCCCCTGAACGGCAGAAAGTAACTCCCTGAGGAGTGGGGCTTCGCCCCCGCCAATAATGTCTCAAGATTCCTCTTTGGTCGCAAAATTGACGTCGATTCTCCAGAAAAAGACGGT